GAGCGAAACTTGCGAAGCTGCTGCACCATGCTGTCAATGTCCTCGTTCTCGTCCGCCTCTGACTCCGTGGCATATCGCAAGGAACCAAGAACTGCAAAGCAGACAGCCATGATCACGTTGCCGGAGAACCTGAGATTGAGATTCAGGATTCAATGACAATTGCTGAGTGTCGGCTCTGTATCGGTAACGGAAACTGTAACACTAGTCTATTAGTCGGCAAAACATCAGTGTCACACTCACAATGACTTGACTCATTCATGCCCAAGAGCGAATTCCCTGCTAAGTTTTGCAAGTGGGTTTCAGGCACGTTGAGTTCATCGAGATCCTCTGCATTCCATGAAAGACCCTGCAAAGACATGGACTCCCGCCCTAGCGCCAACCTCTGCCTAGAAAAGCTCCACAGGGTTGATCGTGGAAGCACAATCGGCACTGATTGGTGACCTGTGCCATAGCGGTTGGCGGAGTGGTAGGAATCACAGTAGGTCAGCTCTTTGTGCAGGCGATACCGATCGTCAGCAGCAAATCCCACCACCTGTGATTCAAAGTCGCGCCACTCACAGTAAATTTACATACAGCAGCTTACTACCTACTCAAGTTCAGACAAACATCCATGGTAGGTGCCAGCCTCCTGGGCTCGCTCTGTCAAGACCTTGAACCAGGGACTTGAAGTAACATCTGGATGAATTTGCAAAGGCCAGGTGATACCACCTTGCAAAAAGAACATCTGGAACTTGGAAACTGAATGAGGCGGCTAGAGCGTTTTACAGAGGGTATTAGTAAGCATGCAGCATTAGGCATGCAGCGTTAGCAATAATCCCGCAAAGAACTAGAAATCGAATCATATCATATCAATAGAAAATAGAATCATAGGAATCGGAATCATATCAATTGTCAATTATCGATTCTATGGTCTAGCGCAATCAAGTATCGTTTCTCCGCTTGATTCATATGTAGCTGAATCCACGATGGATGCTTGTCTTTCTTATCACCCGATTCCTCTTGCTCCTGAACCTTCTTCTCACGCTCTGCAGAAAGGTGATTCAAGTAACTCTGCACTGCGTCGTTGTCATCTGGCAGCAAAAAGGCATCCTAGGCTCGATTTCATGACACAAGAAAAACTGAGCTGATTTGAGCCCGTTCATTCCATCACTCACAGTCAAGAAAACAACGCCTGTTTACACTGCTCTGTTTAAAGTGAAGTGTCCGCGGGAGGAGGGTCCATATGCAAAGTCTGTAGAATAGCCCGCACTGATTGGAAAAAATCATCAGGACTGACACTCACATCCGGAGTGAGCGTTGACAAACATACAATATAGACCCTCCTGCGTGATTGGGGTAGTCCATACCACTGTGAATCCAAAAGGTAGGTCTTTGCAACATAGCCAATCTCTCTAATGCGGGCCAAGCAAACTTCCAGGTTGCTTTGCCTCGTTGATTGAATCACACAAGCTGCCGACAATAAAGTAACTTGGGACAGCTGGAATTTGAGACCCTGCAGCCTACAGCTTACGTTTTTGGGGGACAATCCAAGTTGCATGTTGTCCTCGTGCCGATCGATTGATTCCACGTTCTCAAATAACGCCCATATCGGAGTGCACTCCCCCAAGATGTCAACACACCCTGGAACGTGGACACGGAGGCAACATTTCCACCCTGAGCATGCGGCATGTAGGGAGCAGCAAAGCCTAGCTGCACTAACCACTGATGACTCATGACAATCCAAGTTACTTCCGTGTCGCCATTCCGAGCACGTTCCATTGCCGTGGCGTTCTTTGCAGCATTGTTATTGAGGAGGCTATAGCTAGTGCAAGAAAAAACAGCAGCAAAACCATCAATCTCAGGAATCTCGCAGGCACGTGAATGGCAAACACACCTCCGCTTCGCATCGTCTTTCAAGCACGTGATGTCCTTGGGTTAGCAAGCCGGCTAGTTAAGTTATTTCATATTTATATATATATAACTCTTTACATGACATAACAATAACAATAACTATAATAGTAATAATAACTATTATTGTCAATTGTACTGTACCACTGTTGTGCTTCGTTCTTTACATCTTTCTGTGAGTTTGTTACCAAGTGTCTTTGAACATGCAACCCTGACCGCGGTCTAGCGTTCTCTGCATGGCATAGTCTCTTTTGAACTCGACAGATTCACATCCAAATCTGACTTCCACTTCCTCAGCAATCAAAAACAAGACAACGACATTGACAATGACTCATGACAATGACAACAACTATGACTCAGACTCAATGACAATACAAACAACATCACAATGACATGTCAATGACTCGACAATTACGAACAACCAACAATTGTCAGAGTCATGTCATGAGTCATTTAGATTTGCTGCGTGTCTTAGAGGCAGCCATGTCTCAGAGTTGTCTCGGTCACAAAAGACTTTGGCCAACGTCTCATGAACAATGCACACACACTCCTCAAACCTCAAGCAAACTCAAATCCACTCGTCCTGGAGGTTTGGTTCTGCAGAAACTGTTTGGTTTTGTTGTTACCTTTACAGCCTTTACAACATAAATCATGAAAACTAGAGTGGAGGAAAGTAACGACGCTGTTCCTGTGCACCCAGAGCCCACTGCCAAGACTGATGGTTGACTCATTAGGTTCTTGTAGATAGGAGAGTCGGCGTTCTCGCAATGGTATTTCAGCAATTTGGCACCCATAACCTTGGCTGAGCTTGGCCCGGCTGTATGATGATGCTCAATGGTCAATGATTATGATTCCGATTCTGGTAGTCAATGATAGGTAGCGGCCTGTAATGTTTAATAGCTACAGCCTACAGCCATCCACGGCTTTTTGTCAAGAATGCAACATGCTGCAATCCTTGCATTAACCGAGGAGCACGAGCCACAGAAACAAACATGCGTGAGGGGTCGTCGGGAGGATAAGACGCAGACGTCCTTTCTAGAAGCTCCTGAGCCTCTTCCAACGAGCATTTTCCAGTGCTGGGATCCAGTGCTGGGAACTCCGGATCAGAGCTATTGTCGTCATTGGCATCGGCATCGGAGCAAACGACTGCATGGTTGCTCTGTTCACCTTGAGTGACTAAATGGATAATGTGATTTGATGTTTTTATAAACCATATATTATTACTTAAACCAAATCAAATAATATGAATACGATTTTTGTTTACACAATATTAAGGGTATGATGATTCGATTCGATATGATTCGCAATGATATGATTTGATTCTGACAAGGCACCAGACGACAGAGCAGTAGTCGATATAGCCCTGCGAGGATAGTCAAGTGGCTTGACCTTTTTTGGCTGGGTGGCTTCCACAAGCTGATCCTCTAGACTCTAGAGCATTCATATAGTCTTCTTTGATCTCATCTGGCATGTAGAAATTACTCTTCTCCGCAGCAGACAACGCAAGATCAGCGGCAACCTTCATCTCAGACTCAGCAGCCATTTTGTCCAACGGAGGAGGCTGGTAGGAAGCCAGGAATTGCTCAAAGTCTTCGACGTCAGCCAAAGGGTCTCCTGGCTCCTCACCCCAGGTAAGGTTTTCTTCTTTGAAAGCCGCTTTTGCATCTGGATCCATTTGGTCCCAGTACTGCTGAAAGAGCGGGTGGTTTCTGTACTCTCGAACTTTGCGATATAGGATGGTATCCTCATCCTCATCCTCATTGGCCGTAGCTGAAACATCAGGAGCACAAGGTGCCATAACAGCATCATCACCATCACATTTTGGAGCATCCTGAGGATCCTCACTGGAAATGGTAGGCTGCGCAAACACATTTGCTGCCGGGGGAAGAGTCTCCTCACTCTCCTCAATCTGTGTCATAGCCACCACAGGCTCATTCAGCATTGCATCTGCACTTGCTTCTGTGGGAGCTGAGACTGCAGCGCAAGGCATAGATGTTGAGACTTCAACGGAAGGTGTGCCCTCACCATTTGCTTCCTTGGAAAGAGTTGAGCCTGCAGCTACATCACAACCTGCTTCCTTGGCGCACGATGGGACTTCAGGAGAAAGCGCAGCAGCAGCATCATCACCACTTGCTTCCTTCAGAGACACTAGGCCTTCGGCAGCAGAAGGAGCCACATCAGCGGCATCACCTTGCTCATCCACATCCAGATCAGAGACTGGTTGAGGTTGAGTCATAGCCAGGGCCATTGCCACATCTTCATTGGCAGGAGGAGCAGCTTGCGCACCCTGGGCCGAGGGATCAGTGTCATTGCCATTGCCATTGGGAGAAGTCAAGGCCAAAGCATCCTGCACTTGTGACAGTCCTGAGTCAGGAAATGTTTCTTCTCCAGGACCAGGAATATCAGCTTGTTTTCCGCCATTGGGATTGGGAAGAGCCAAAGTGCCTTGCACTTCTGAAAGTCCTGGGGCAGGTAGTGTTTCTGCCTCGGGCCCGCATTGACCTGTAGG